AACTTTCGAACTTGACTTAAAGGTATTCATCAAAGTAGATCCCAAACAAAATTTCGATAGTATTGAACAAAACTCACAATCCACTTGAGTCCTTAAGCTATGCTGATCCATCAAAGATTTTGTAGATCCTCGCAAGACAAATAATTGAGACTTTTTCCATCATTGTAACACAATATGAGCACCACTACAAATCTTCAGGACTCCATCTTCACCAATGAATTTGTACCCTTTCAAGTCAAAAGTATTTAAGGAGATAATATTTTTTTCAAATCAGGAACATGCCGCACTGCATTAAGCATTCTGACACTTCCATCAATCAACTTAATTCTGAACCTTTCTATACCAGCTATCCGACAATGTGTATTATTATTGGTCACGACAACACATTTGGAAACTTCTCCATATGTTGTAAACGAATCCCGATTGGACACATATCAAAAGTGCAAGCCATATCAAGAATTCAATCTTCTTCAGATTTGGAACCGCTATCAGAAATCACCAAAAGATCTCCATCATTGTGAAATGTTTCTCCAACACTGGCTTCACCCGAATTGTCTAATTGCTTTCCTTTCTGATTAGATATATTTTTCTTTATTCTACAACTTATAGCAACCCTTCACCAAATGCACATTTCTCTTGCAATAATTACAAATTTTATTTGTGAAGTTAGATCTTAATTTACCCTCTCCCGGACCATCATAAACAATAAGGCCATCTCCATAAGCCTCAGTTCAAACGAGATGCTTCATCTTCTCATTTAAATATAGAGTATCATAAACATCTTCAATGATGAGAGTATCACGACTATATAAGATCGTGTTTCTAAATAACATATGAAACGAATAACGAATACAATAAAATAAATAAAACCGAAATCTTTTTCATCATATTTAACCTCCAAGGTTTCAAGATCAGGGGCGGTTTCCTTAAACACGATTAGGTAATCTTTAAGAGATATAGATCTTTGTCATTTACAATTGCTCCAATATTAACCATAATGCAGCGATGAACTTCTCCTTAAAAACGTCCTAAAAATGTTATTCGAAAGATGAAGATAAATTTGTGATATGGCCTTCTGATCCCTATATTCTTTTTCTTTCTGATTCCACGTTGTGGGCAACTTGTCAAATTCTAACAATGCATCATCCAAATCCATTTGACGGAGTATTGTTCGAATCTTTAGTATCCAAAACGAAAATCTTGTGCTGTAATCTAAAAGCGAAATATCATATTTCATGCTTGCCATAAAAAAATCTCCATATGAATTAAGTATTGGTTCTAATACCAGTTTGTTATAAACAACGAAAAATATATTCAGATAATTGGCGAGAAAATAATATGACACAATATGAAGTAATTGATCATAAACTTAAAAATAAAAAATAATTGGCAGATGAATGGAGATTTCACTAAAATAAGGAGAAATAATTATAATCATTTTATGTTTTGATTTGTCTAACTTAATTTAAAATACAATTAAAAGCTAATTATATATAGAGGACATGTCAAATCTTAAAAGTAGAGTTATAGATGAAACAAAATGCAAAAAACAACATTAAAAATGGAATAGGAGACCAAAATGCCGCGCAAAACAAAATAGTTGGGCCCCCATGCTAGGTTTCGAAAAACTTCTCATTTGATGTTTTTCTTCATTCTTTTGCCCATAATTTGATCTCTTAAAGTTCAACATAAAATTCAACTCCCGATACGGCTTCCAAATAGAATTTTAACTAGAATCTGCCAAATAAATTTCGAATAGAATCCAAAATCATTCCAACAAATAGAATTATCTTAATTAGAATTCTCAATTATCTTCAAAATAGAATTCTATTGCAATGAGTAAGCTTCAAAGATTCTCTACCTGGAGACAATCTTTACTGCAAAGAATGAACTTCAACTCTTAAACAAAATTTGTCCGAGTTCAGGAAGAGGGTGAGGGTTTCATTGAGTTTTCTATTGTTCGTGACTGGAATGCAATGGCGGGGGCAATTTTGGTGGTTTCTGTATAATGGGGTTATGATGTTTATTACATTGAATCAATGTCACAAATGGTTGATGTTTTTAGGAAGTTTAGATTTAGGGGTTATGTCATAGGGTTGTTTTATGGGTTGCATTACATGTATACAAAACAGTGGGTTTTGCGATTTCCAATTATTCAGATAATTATGCTTTTCACTTTCTGTATATGTACTTGATTTAGTGCGTTTTATAATTTTGTAATCAGCTGAGTATAATCATTTATCAATTAATGGTTTGGTAATCCCGTAACTTAAGGAATAAGAATATGTTTGTGGGCTGGTATATGGAAATAAAAATGCCTGGTTGAGAAATTACCATCATGTCATGATGCAATCTTTGGAGAAAAATGGAAGAAAATAATAATACAAAATTTGATCTTTAAGAACAAAGAAAAGCTTATTTAGCACATGAATTGTATTTCATGTTACAAATTATGTATATAGTGCTTCGTTTAGATGTAAAACATTTGCAACAATCTATGTCCTATGTAGTTTTAAACTTTATCTTTATGTGTGTTGTTTTCCGGATAAATCATTTCATAGTAACTGCTTCTTATGTGTTCCTTTCTCTCTTACAGGTAAGGTTCTTTCACAATTTTCTTGCTGTAATTTGAATATTTTCTCTTACCGATTTGTGAATTTATTTCATTTGATAATCATATGCTCATTTTTTCGTCGATGGAATACTTACATTAGTATGGTGTATTTATATTTGATGCTTAATGTTTTTAGTTGTTGCTCTGCGTTTGGGAAATAGTATTCTCGTATGAGTTGGCTTCTCAAAAATGTAATATCATCCATCATTGAAAACTTCAAAAGTTTCCCCGTTAGTCATTGAACTTTACAACATATAACGCCATTTGTCGCTGAGTGATGTAGTAAATTTCGATGACTAATGAGGAAACTTTTGAAGTTTAGTAACCATCTAGAAACCTTATGTAAAGTCAAGTAGCCAGTCAAGTAATTATCCTAATAATTTTGCTGTTTGTGTGTTGTGTGTGAGGTGAGGTGAGGTGAGGTGAGGGGTTGAGTATTATATAGGACGAAAATCATATGTAAGCTTCATAGTATTGATATGTGACAACAAATTTATAATGTGTAAGTAAAATATATTGTATATTTACTTATTATTTATTTATTGACTTGTTTAAATTAGAATGCATGTACATGTTTACAATTTCTTGGTTGCGATTTCGAGAGTTTTCAAACCCTAAACGAGGTGTAATATCTACTTTCCTTATAGCAGCATATTTAGAAACATATACTTACTATCTTGGACGGATTGAAATAATTGAAAGAAAGAAAGATTATTTTAAAAAATAAAAACTTTTTTTAATTTAATTATTAATCATATGAACCATATGCTACTTGATTCTTACCATGTATAACTTCATTATTTTAGTTAAGAGATGTTAGAGTGCGTTTGATTGCAAGGGTGGAAAATGGGTGGAAAGAAAATGTTTTACAGGGAAAAAATTTGCTTAAAAAATGTTTTGCAGGGAAAATTTTTAAATTTTCTATTCGTTTGGCTTTGTTTTATATGAAAATTGTCCATTAAAGTGATATTTTTTTTCACAATTGATTATAAAATTTGTTTCCATTGCCAAAAAGTAAAAAAAAAAATTGTTCCCTAAAAA